CATAATTGGGGCGTGAGGCTGGAACGTGGTGGTCGGTGGGCAAGGGGAGATCCGGCAGCGCGCGAATTTGGTTCCGCAACTTGACCCAATGCTCCCACGCGCCGCCACGTACATCGTCGTGCTGCCCGCGCTCGTCGCCGCCCAGTTTGGCGACTTCTTCCAGCACATGTTCCACGGCGGCCAGCAGCACCAGCAGCAGCAACGGCCCTCGGCGTCGGCGCAGTACGCAGCGTTCGTCGACCAGGGTATGTTTTTGAAGTTTACACGGCGACGGGCTGATTCCCACACCCATTAGTGCCTTGCGCCGCGTACCTTTGTCCACAGACAATGGACTGCGTAAATGTATGTGTCAAACCTTGCAGAACCCTATTGTCCTCGCTCACCGCCAATCGCCCAGAACCCGGCAGAGTGCCCCTGCCCGAACCCCGCGGAGGACATCAAATGTCTCGTCCCAGACGCCCACGACAAGAATCAGGCAACAGTCGTCTGCACGCGCGGCGCGAACGGATGCGCAGATGTAGAGCGTCTAATGAACCGGTAGCCATCCAATAGACTCGACGTTCCCTCCCCTTCACGACTGTCGTTGCCCGTCCACTTGACTCCCGAGTCGCTGGGTTGCCACGCTCGAGAGGATTCGGCGTTTGTCTGAGTTACGGAGACGCGGGGGACGTAGTGCAGGGCACAACGATGCTGGACATCGTTCTATTTCTAGCGCTGCTGCCTTGAAGTTGCGGACCTCGTCAAGGTGACGAACCTTGCGATAGTATTCTCGGGGACACGCATGGTCTCGACGTGTCCAGTTTGCGATCGGCCGTAACGAGTCACCCCCAAGCTTTTCGAGGTTTTTGGTAGCCGCAACCGGAACATGGTACAACCTCGCACTCGAAGTGGTACCTATAGCGTACAGAAGGGTCGTCGATCCGCAGAAGTCGCACTCTACGCTATGTACACCAAGAAACAGAAGCGATACAACCCAAGAAGGATCGACGGCCGAAGACCGTCTTCCAAAGCGTCTAATCATACTTGCAGAACACAATATTGCACCAAAAGTGACGCTCACAATGTGAAGCCCTGGGATGTGTTCAGCATGAGTAGAACTTGGCGGTACCGAAGGTGCGCACGATGGACGTCTTGGCCTGTACCTCAGCAGCCGCTGCTCGCCAATCGGCCTCAACGAAAGCAGAGACGCGGGCGGTCACTGCCGCCGGTATCATCTCTTCAGGCATGTATCTGCACAGCGTGAGCATTGTCCACAGTTGAAACGGCATGAACTTACCTCTCTATAGGCGTCGACACCGCCCGCTCAATCGCGTCCCAGAACAGCTGGGTTCTCGTCTCTAGGTCCGGGTGCTTGAGGACGTGGTAAACGTACGGCTCCGGTTGGAACTTCAGTCCGTCATGCTGCGTTATCCACGCCGTCCTGTTCTCCGGGTTCGCCTTGTCGTAGTGCCTGACAGGATTGAGGAACGGCACGCCGAGGCACAATGCGTCGTATGGCGACGGCGACAGTCGCGGGAAGCCGAGACCTAGCAAGAGTTTCGAAGACGCGACCGCGAGGAAGAACTCATCGGCGGGGAGCGGTTGGTCGTTCAAGGCCACGATACCCTTCGGTAACATGGGAGAATCGGGATACCCGCGATCCTGGTCCGACGCGGACGTGTCATTCCGTACTGCGGCGACGAACGTCACGTTCTTCGAGCTGGAGGGCGGTTGCGAGTAGTCGATGTTCGGCCATTCGTAACGATCGCTGAAGAAGTACGAGAGCTTCTTCGCAAGAATGAACACCTGATTGTTGCGCTTGTCATGCGGAATGAAGGGCTGCAGGGAGCATGTACGGTTGACGCTGTATCCCAGGAACGTATTGCCCGACGTATAGTTGTAAGGTGATAGCGTCCACGGCTTCCCAAGAGGATGTGGCATGGAGGAGTCTTCCCAGAATACGAAGCCGAACATCTTCCAAAGCGGCACGCCGAGTGTGTTGGTTGGTGATTTAATACACCCGGGATCACGAAGGCAGTCGTGCACGAGTGGCGAAGTCGCGAGGACGACCTTGACGAGGTCGGGGAATGCTGCGGCACGCAATTGGTACCGTGACAGTATCTTGGAAGGAACTCCGAAGTGACGTACCACGATAGCGCTCGGCGAGTTGGTGGTGGTTGTAAGCGAAGAAATACGTATATCCCAGCGCGTCGAGAGCGTCCATCTGCGCCAGGGCCGTCAGATGCGTCGCTGAGCAACGGGGGACACCGCACAATACTGTTTGCCCTGCCACCAGCCTCAGCAAAGTGCGAGCAAGGGTCTCTACACGCACCATATGTTCTCTCCAGACAATCGTCCTGCGATAGCGAATGTAAAGTCCCAGGATGCTAGAATGACGATCTTTGTTTGATTCTGACCGCAAGTACCGCTCGCTATGCAGTGCATGAGGGTGTGCATGTGTCTGTTGTTATCGTCACGCCATTTATCGATGGAATCGACGAAGAACTCGTCGTCGTCGGGCGTAGGAAACAGTGCGTTCCAGTCCGGTGAGTCTGGCAGCGCCGTCCCTGCGGTAAATCGACTGAACGCAGGCAGTCGCTCCAGGATCGCACGCGGTTCATAGGATTTGTAGAATAGACTGATAAGCGACCAGGAGGCCAGTGCCGCAACGAACGCGATTAACCAAGGCCTACGGGTGCGACGTAAGTCAGTCACTGCCAGTGCACTGGCCTGAAGACCCGGGATGCATCTTCACACACCGTACACCGCACAGGCTGGCAGGGGCCATTCCCGACGCTCGTGGAGGGAGGGAGATCCTGGCATGTCATTCGGAGCGACCAGCCTCAGGGTGTCAGGGTGTCAAGTCCGAGTCGAGTCGCCGCATCGGCTCTGCGCGCGTCTTGGCTCTCGCCGACATCATGTTCCATTCTTCTGCTGCCACGACTGTCAGCTGCACAATACCTACGTAACATTCCCCCAGTTCCTGGGCCATTAAGTACCCCATTTCTGGTGCTTTCCCCTGCCCATCACCATGGCCTGCTTGTCATCGGCTACTCCGTCCGGGGGGCTAACAGACCGCTCCTGTGACACTGGTATCATCTGTGTGGCTTCCACGTCCTCGCAGGCCTATCTCATTGCTTCCTTATCTTTGGCCATCACTTGTTCGCGCAACTTTCAAAAGTCTGTGTCCTGTTACCTGTACGGTCAGGAGTCAAAGGACTGTGGAGCTATAACATTGTGTGCTTGTCGCATCGAGCAGGTCCATACTGGTCGCCCTCGACGAGTCGTGCTACGTACCGCCTGCTATCTAGCGGAGCGCTTGTCTCACGCGTCGAACCTGCTTGGACGATTTGGCACTTTGTAATTGCTCTAAACGCCGTCGACGCTCTGATGGGGCATGTGGCCAAACCTACCTGACTGGGATCTGCGAACGACAATATCATCCGGCTTCGGTACGATGCAGGTTGCGCAGACCACATCATTGCAGGTCGACGCTTTTCTACTCCCCGAGCTATACATTACCGAGCCCTGCGTATGAAAGGAGAGTTGACAAAGATCCAACGCAACTACGTATAACTATTCTCCGAGTCGGCCTTGTCGACACAGGTACTCTTTCCGAGCCACTGCAGTGCCCTGTGCAAGATGTTATGTTCAGTCGCGGCGGGTCGAATCAAATTGGGACGGGAATCACCCTTCAGCAAAAGCCAGTGCCAACTGAGGTACGGCCGTAGCTGGCCTTCCAATCGTTTGCAGAGTACCATCCAGCGCCCGCGGGGCCGCCGCTCTGGAGTCCGCACTGCGAGTTGATTTGCGAGAAGAAGCTCGCAATATCTCCGGAATGGCAAGTCTGCCCGTTTCCGTAGTTGCAGCCGTACGCAACGCCTAGGCCGGATACAACAGCGATGCTGCGGGACGCGAAGTAATAGCCGCTGCCGCACATGCTGACGAAGTTGGTCTGGGCCTTGGCGACATCGTTGGCGTTGACTCCGTAGCCGGTGCAGGCGACGTAGTTGCGCTTGACGAGGTCGCCGAGCGTCGAGTTCGAGCGTGCAGCGAGCGCTTCGGAGGCGTCACCCTGGTACTCCCAATGAGTGGTGCCATCCTCCTTGACGCTACCGAGATAGACACCGTCGGAGGACCCTTCAGGAATGCCATCGAGACTGTTGGTGCCCTCAGCGGGGAGTGGAGTGACGCCACCAGCGATGGCAAGGAGGACGATGCTGAAGAAGGAGGTGGAGAACTGCATGTCGATGTCGAGATGGCGAGAGACTGAAGGGATTTGAGATGGCACAGCGGCCCTTATATACCCTGTATCGGATGCAAAGTCTCCCATGTAAGATGGACAAAGCTGCTGTGCACGTAAAGATGAAATGCATCACCGGGCAAGTTGCGATCCTGTCCGATCGCAGCGCATCGGTGAAGACAGGTGCATAGGGTGTGCAGGGCATGGCCAAAGTTTCAATGACCGAGGAGGAGACACACATGGTGCAGCTTTTGTGGACTGACCTTGTGACGACCAAAAGAGAAGAACACTTGCTGAGAGCGCGCAGTCTACTTTGGGCCCACTTTTCTATCTAGATTAGGGGCTACGAGCAGATGCTCATCGAAAATCACTGTATGGTACATGGCCATCGTAACCCGTACCCAGCCTGAAACCCTATAAGATCTAATGAGGGTGGGCACGGCGGTGGTTAGCCTCCGGGCTGTACGACTCGGGCTCGGGCTTTCAACAAAATTTCACTTGTATACACGTATTGAAATTACACCGATTGTAACGCTTAGTCCCCGTTATATGTAAGACATTTTCAACGCTCGCCTCGCCAAAATTCTCCTGTACTCCGGCTATCGCCGCTCGAGAGACAGCGAGACTTGTCGTCAGACCTGGCAGACGCAAGGGCTGGGAAGAACACCTGAAATAATCAATATGGAATGTCGGTGACTTGCTGTGTCGCTGCAGAAGGTTGAGGTAGTATTTCTATTTCGCGACCTGTTATGTAGTTCCTAAGTTGGGTGGGGCCAACGGCTGTATAGTGTAGCGGTTATCACAGTGGATTCTGACTTAATTGGCATTTCCATTAACCCCTGTTCGAATCAGGGTACGGTCATGTTTTGCCCAGGAAGCCGCGCCTGGGATTTGACCCTGTCTGAAGTTGTTGGTGACAAATATCCCTACAATAGCAGGGTCAGTACAGCACTACTTTTAGAGCCGTGTAGGATCGGAAGTATAACAGGTGTCGTTTAGAACTCCGCCAATACTGTCTTGACCCGCGATCCGCCGTTGTTATGCCCCGCGGTGTGTTGGGCAACTTCAAGTCTGAGGCTCTGAAGGTATATTGGACCGAACATCGTGGACAGCACTCATTGCTATCAGACATTCCCGGTTACTGTGTCTGTGGACGACTTGCGCCGACTCGAGAAGCTCGAACGCACGTACGACTACTCCATCAAGGTCCCAGTGTATGAAGAGCTTGCCGACAAGTACTCGCACCCATTTTTCTCTGCACAAGTAGGATGCATGCTCCTCTCGCTCAGAGCAAATTCACTGGCCATCCGCCGCTGGCAAGAGGTATTCTCGTGGAGGCTGGTCTATCAGGCTGTTCATCACTGCATTCAGGCGCAACTCCAGCTCAAGGATATGGGCATCCAGGACTCTAGTCTAGACAGCTCTCTCGACTTACTTGCACCTGAGTTCGAGCGTGTGGCCTACGCGGTGTTGACGAGATCCAAGACTTGTACGTCTCAGTCTCGCTTGTAAAGGTAAAGGCAACTGTTCACACGTCCAACGTCCAAATTCATCAGTCACATTCTCCCAGCCATGGCGTAATTCTTCCACTCACGAGTACCCGTCATTGTCATCGCTCTCGCTCTCGCGGTATAACGCGCTTCGGATGCGGTGGGAGGCTAGCACCGACGCCATTCGTCAGCGGTATATGAGAAGGCTTTGCATCGAGACCGTCCATATCGAAGATGTCTTCCTGCTTTCAGAGTCGGTGCGCTGAATCTGTCAGTCTGTGGGCTCTTCTGAAACGTCATCACAAGTCCGTGGAGGAGCTCGTTCATCGTCGGGTGACCGATTCTGTCATCGTCGCCGCGCCGCAGAGTGCGCTGCATTCGCCTGAAAAGATCAAGAACATATTGACGGATACATTGGCGGTATTTGAATCTCCCCGACCTTGTCCTTTCCTTATTCTCTTCTAGGCGTACCAATCAGTCCTCGATCTTGCTGCTGACCCGTCCGCCTTGATCGAACCCGCGTCTGCGCTCTTCATGGCATTCTGATGCGTACCTGTCGTTTTGCGGGACGACACCATGTCGCAGTAGGAGAGACCCGGACTGCAAGTCGCGCGACAGTCACCGTCGGCGGCCCACGTCCTATCCAATTTTGCCCGTTTCCCTTAGTCGACGACGAACTTGATAATATCTGCCATCTCGCAAGAGTGCGTTAGACTACCTGTGCTTGTGCGACTCCTCAGCAGCTGATGTATCCGCAGGCTCGGATGCAGCCGCCATTGCACGACGCGTTTGCGATGGCCAGCTGGATTCACTTAATTTGTGTACGCTGTCATCCGTTCGAGGTGCGTGGTACCCGTCATGACGTCGGTGTGCATAACGTCTCTCAACTGCTTCAGGATGGAAACGGGCGAATCTCGCGAATCTTAGCCTCTATCCCGCTCATGATGGACGGACTCCCGCCTCTATACATCTCCCTTCTGCAGCGCGGCGTGTATTACGACGCAATTAATCAGGCAAGCATCCGAGCGAGACATACATAATCACTAATCGTTTGTTGCAGGCTTACGGCGGTGACCATCGGGCCATGGTTGAATGCATACTTCAAGGCACGGAGGAAGCGCTCGACGCTGTAGTTAATCAATCACCCACGTAAGGCCGCTGAAGTATTCTGTGCAACCGTTTGTATACTACATTGGAGAGCAGCCGTTCCTTCAATCGGCAGGAGAGGGCAAAGCCCTTGTACCACTGAACAAGTTCCGGTTATCCTCTCCAAATCCTATCGAGGGACATGGAAACCTCCGCCCTCGTGTTTATGATATGATTCTCGGACTCAAGGTACACGGCTTGGGGTGTGTGTGACACAGATGAGCGGACTTCTCCGACACGTGGGAAAGACTACTTCCCCGCGGAAATGTTGACAATGTGTCTCGAGCGCAATTCTCACCCTTGCCTTCCTATGACAGTAAGTAAGAAATATTGATATTGACTAGTCGCGCGGAGACGAGAGCGACATGAGAACGGAACGACACGACCTGGGACAAGAAAGTCAGCGAACACAGTCAATGGACAGGGGGATGGTGGGTCATATTAGATCAAGACATGCTCATGAGGTCCCCACTTCGGAGCGAGTGCTCGGAATACGTGTGGGGTCCTTCGGACCACTTGCTGTAATCATGCGACGAGAAAAGAAGTTGGACTGACCATCACGCGGGCCTGGGAGTTGGTAGACGTCGACCGGGGAGAGTCAACGGAGGAACAGGCAACGATATGCGGGTTCTGACTCTGGCCCACCACTGCAATCCCCACGCCTGGAACAGACCAAACGTCGCGGACGCGAGCCAATACGTCAAAACGGACTAGAAACAATGCTCAACGCCACGTTTCCAGACGTAGGACGACGCACCCCCGGGGCAACCATGCCAATTATGATTCGGAAAATAGCTGAGGACCTCATGAAGGATCCTACAAATGATCCAGGGCTGATCTTGAACAGCTTCCTCTTCTGCGCGGCCTCTCGAGCGCGCTCGTCGCGCTCCAGCCTCTCGAGCATCTTCTCAGGCGAGAGGAACCAGCGCGTCGAGTCGGCCGTGGCCATGGTGACCATTCCAAGCGCTATAGGCATGACATATGTTGCGTCGGGGTGCGTGAGTGCGGTGAGCGTCAAGAAGGCTTCGCTATCGAGCGGCGTCGGCGGCATCGCGGCAGCGCCAAAGACGAAAGTCAAGGGAAGGAAGACGGCGAGTTGGGACAGGCCAGCTATGACCATTATCTTCATGGGTGCGCAATCTAACGCCTTGAAGAGCTCTTTCTGTCGGGCTTGCATCTGCCAGACGGGCGGGGGTCAGATTCGTGCCGTCTTGGAGGGATGGGACGCACCATAGGCCTTATTCTCGCTTGAAGCCATGCGATCTTCGCGTCATTGTCCATCTTGTCTACGCCGGGCTCGAGCTTCAAGTCGCGCTGCGCACGGTGCTTCATGTCTATCATATTGCGCTTGAACTCGGGCGCGAGGACGTCTTCAATGACGAAGGATTTCTTTTTCGCCTGTACGCGCGTCTCGAATCAGCTAGGCGTGTGGGATGCGACGCGCAGCGACGAACCCATATTGATACAGGCAGGACGGCGAGGCGAGACACGACCGTGATGAGGATGATTGTGCTGGCATACGGCGGCCAGTCTGTGGGGTACGGCAGCGCCAGAGACAGGTCTATGAACTGGTCTGCAGCGGCCGCGAAGTGTTCGACGATGAGAGTTCGACGCTGCGGCCGTATGGGCGTCGTCTGAAGTCGCCGTCTCGTCGCGGCGCGGAAAGCATTACGGGCAAGCATCGAGACCGCGTTTCGCTCTCAGCCGCTGCACGCGTTTTGCAAGATACTCTCAACATCCGCGACTCAGAACACGCAGTATACAGGACACGCAAAGCAAATGCAATGAGGGCAAAACATATATCCTCGGGAGCATACAGGAAGCATGTCATAACCTAAGGTCTCGCTCACATCACACCCGCTTAGAAGACAAGCTGAGGAACAAGTCAGTACGCACTCGGCATCGTCAACGGCAACATCGCATACCTGGTGCGGGAACTGGCCCTTGGACAAACCCCAGCTCGCCTTGAGGTATTTTTCGAGGTTTGCGGCCTTCTTGACGCCGGCAAGGACGGCCGCGTCTACGGCCTTTTGCTCCGAGGTCTTGGCCTCTGGCAGAGGCTCCTTCGCCACCGGCTTGCCGTTTGCGAAGAACTCCTCCTCCGCGGACGCGCGCGAGCCCTTGTTCTCCTTTGCAAAGAACGCATCGTTGATCTTGTCCGAGAGCTGCACAGAGTTTAACACGCGGTGCAAAGCAGAGGCGATAGAACCGCACCGAGAGCTCCGGGATGTCGACCTTGGTAGAGGTGGCGATAACGTAGGCCTGGTTGACCCGGCGGAGGGGAACGCCGTTGACCTTGTAGGGGCCGGTGACGAGGAGGAGGCCAGAGTCGAGCTGCTTGAGGAAGACGACGCGCTTGCCGCGGAAGCGACCAGCGAGGAGGATGAGGACGGTGCCGGGGGTGATGGCGGACCGCAGCTTGGTGGGCTTGGCCGTCTTGCGCGACACCTTGGGCTTGCGGACGTCCTCTGCCGGGTAGAAGCGCGCAGCCTTGGCCGTCGGGACGCGTCGTGTCGAGCCGTTCTTGTCGCCCTTGACCTCGACCTCCTTGAACGCCGGGACATCCTCGGCAGCCTTGGGCGCGCCCGTCTTGCGGCCCTTGTACAGTTGGCGCTTCGAGTACGCTGCGGAGCGCGACAGGCGACCGACACCGGGTACGAGCTCCTTGGCCATCTGCGCGCGCACAAGTCAGCACCCAGCTCGCAATTTCCACACTCGCGACCGCGCCAGCGCAGAGTCTCGTGCAGCCATGTCTGGGACGACGTCGCGGACGTGCTCGAGGGTGCGGGACGCGGTCGGCGGCGCACTCACTATTTGTTGATCTTGAGGAAGGAAAGCGAGGAAAGCGGAATGGATAAGGTTGCTTCCGTCCGCCCTTCCAACATTCCGGAGCCACCGCCGACACTCTCGACATGAAGCTCACGGCGCAAAATAGTGACCGTATTGTCATCGTTAATGAAGAAGTCCCCTCAACCGCAGCGAGGGAACTATACACAAGCCTAGTACAATCCCTCACCGTTGAGCTGGAATAAGACCTAGCAGCTCTGTATAGAGCCAGCCAGTAACTTACTGTGGGTTGTATGAGAGACATATCTCGAAGGAGGACGCGGGCGATTCAGACGTCGACGACTTGCGCGTTGTAACGGGCGCTTATTCCGTGACGCACGTTCGGCGCTCGCTCCGGATGTGGCTCTCTCCCTCTTCCTCTTGCCAGCATGTCCGGAGA